AGCCTCAGAGGGGGCCGACCCCAGGCATACCCAGCCGGGCATACACCGGCATAGCAGCCGCATAGCAGCCGCATAGCGGACGCATAGCGGACGCATAGCGGACGCATAGCAGCCGCATACCACCCGCATAGCAGGCGCATAGCAGGCGCATAGTAGACGCATAGCAGGCGCATAGTAGACGCATAGTAGACGCATAGTAGACGCATAGTAGGCGCATAGCAGACGCATAGCAGGCGCATAAGACCAGCATAGCAGGCGCATACCACCAGCATAGCAGCCCGGCGACCGCTGTCGACGACCCCAGGCGACGGCCGCCGGAGGTCGCCGCATAGCAGGCGCATACCACCAGCATAGCAGCCGCATACAACCCGCATACGACCAGCATAAAACCCGCATACCACCCGCATACCACCCGCATACCACCCGCATACCACCCGCATACCACCCGCATACCACCCGCATACCACCCGCATACGACCAGCATAGCAGCCGCATACCACCCGCATAAAACCCGCATAAAACCCGCATACCACCCGCATAAAACCCGCATAAAACCCGCATAGTAGGCGCATACTACCAGGCATACCGGCGGAGTCAACTTCCCAATAAGGCGTCCGCTAGCACGTAAACACGTCCCCGGGCGAATCCTACGTCCGTGGAGGGTTCCTAGACGCTTTGGGGAGGTACAATGACGTTTTTGGGCTTCGGGCGGCGCCCCCCGGCGAAATCGTCATTGTACCTTTCTGAAACCCCCGGCGACAGTCTGCGGACGAAAAATACCACAGCCGAGTGAGAGCATGGCGCTACCATCTCAGCGCGCTGCGCGCGGTGGACTTGCTGCGCTGCGAGCCTGACCTCACACCTGTTCTCGAGGGTCGTTTCTACGCTCTGGCCAGCGACGAAGTCGAAATTTTCTTCGCGCTGCGCGCGGGGCGGGTGCGGCGACTTTGTGGCAGTGGCCTCTGCGGCGGCGGCGGCGGCTGCGCGGAGCGGGCTCGTTCTCCGGCGAGGGCGCGATCTCTTGCACGCAGCGCGCGAGCGGCACGTACAGCTGCGCCGGTTCTGGACCGCTACGCGCGCTGGATCCCGCCGAATTTTTCCTCTCACGCTTCGCGCGGCAAGGAGGCGCTCCAGAGCAAAACCGGTGCCTGGGCGCTGCGCAGCTTCATGGAGGTGGCCTAGAGCATGTTCGAGGAAGCCATGGACTTGCTCTCCGCTATAATCTCCACGCGCGCGCGCGCGACGACGACGACGACGACGACGACGACGACGACGACCGGCCGGCCAGCCGGCCGACCGGCCGGGGCCGGGGCCGACGGCGCAAACGGCGTCCATCGACGCCTCTGGCTTCGGCCCTGCGTCCCCGGGGTAAGACCAGGCGTCCCCGGCGTCGTAGCGACCGTAATTGTACTTTTCCCGATTAACGACCGGTCTGCCTCGCTTATTGGGAAGTTGACTCGGCGGTCAACCCCCTCGGAGAGCACTGGAGTGATCGCGAGCGAGGATCTGATCTTTGAACGTCTCCGCCTCGCGCCACGCCGACTACCGCACGCCGCCCGTGTCCGTCCGCCCGTGTCGTCGGTCGAGTCGTAGAATCTACTTCGAAACGGGGACGCGTTTGGCGCCGCCTCTCGCGGCCAGGGCCGCACGCCTTCAAAACCGGGGGCGGGATGAAGCCGGCGGATCGTCCGCCCCCCTCTTCCGCCCACCTGCCCCTCTAGGACGGCCCGCGTAACGGAGGTCGTCACGGAAGATTCTCCTAGTCGCCGTAAGCGAAGAAGGTCGGCGCGTCGCGCGCACGCGCGGTCCAGACGGCGACGTAGGCCGAGACCGCGCAGAGGGGCGCGAGCGCCGCGAGGTCCGACGCGCGCGCGGACAGGGCCAGCATGAGCACCGTCGCGAGGGGCGTGCGCGTCACCGACGCCTGGACGGCGGCCATGGCGCACATGACGACGGGCGCGAGCGGCGAGACGCCGCGCGCGAGCGCGCCGGCGGCGAAGAAGAGCGGGAAGATGACGCCGCCGGGGAAGCCGCCCGCGACCGCGATCGCGATGGCCGCGAGCTTCGCGATCCCGACCTGGAACGCGCCCGCGGCCGTCAGGGGCCGCGCGACGTCGACGACCGCGCGGGTCGTCAGCGCCGCGGGCACGAGGAGGCCGTGGGGCGCCGCCGACGCCGACGCCTGGCCGTCGACGACGTTCTGGAGCGACTTCTCGCCCCAGAAGAGCGTCTGCGGGTACAGGACGGCCAGCAGCCCGACGGCGAGGCCCGCGGCGACCCGGGGCCGGGGGACGCGGCCGAGCGGGCGCCGCAGCGCCGCGACGCCGCGCACGAAGAGCTCGCCGACCGCCGCGCCGGCGACGCCGACGGGCACCGCGACGGCCGCGTAGGCCCACCGCGGCGGCCGCGCGACCGCGCCCCAGTCGAAGTGGCCGCCGACGGGCCGCGCCGGCGCGAGCGCCGCGCCCGCGAGCGACGCGCCGACGGTGGCGAGGATCGCCGCGGGGAGCGCGTCATCCGCGAGGCCGGCGCCGGGCGCCAGGAGCTCGACGACGAAGATCGCGCCGGCCACGGGCATGTCGATGAACGACGTCAGAGCGCCCGCGGCGCCCGCGAGCGCCGCGTCGCGCTCGCGGCCGCCGACGCGCCGGCCCATCGCCGCGCCGAGCATCGCGCCGGCGACGACCATGGGCGCCTCGGGCCCCACGGAGAAGCCGAAGGCCGTCGTCGCGAGGCTCGTCAGCAGGAACGGCGCGAGGTGCGTCCGCGCCTCGGGGAACGGCCGCAAGCCGCGCGCCGCGGCGATGTAGCCGGCGACGCCGAAGGCCGGCGCGCGCCGCGCGAGCGCGCCGACGACCGCGCCGCCGGCGGCCGTGGCGCAGGGAATCGCCCACGGCGCGGGCGCGCGCTGCCAGAAACGGAGCGCGAAGCGCAGCGCCGCCGCGTAGGCCGCGCCCATGACGGCCGCCGCGGCGCCGATGACGAGCGGCGCGGTCGCTGCAACGAGCGACGACGAGGGTGGCGCGTCGCTGATGAGTCGCTTGCCGTCACCCGTCGCATAGTTGCTGCTCGCATACTTGCTGCGGTCAACGAGGCGGCTCTCAGGTGCCCAGGCATGCGTGCCAGCGATGCTAATGCAGCACGCGAGCAAAACGCGAACCATCGTCGGTGCGTGCCGTTCAAAACGCGAGCAAAACGCGAACGATCGTCGGTGCGTGCAAACGCGGACCATCGGCGGTGCGTGCAGTAAGTTTTTTGATTGAGCTCAACAAAAAGCAGCGGCTTATGGTGGTCGGGTCCGGAAGGATCTAGACCCTGCGTGCGAACCGATAACCGACGATCACGACCGCCCGATGGCGCCCAAGAAGAAACAAAAGTTACTGCCGCCCCAGGCGCGGTTCGCGGCGCTCAAGGTCGTCGTCATCGACGCGCTCCCCTTCCAGCGCAAGCTCTGGAGCGAGCGCATCGGCGCCGGCTTCGTCGCCGTGACGTCGCCCGAGGTGCTCGCCGGCGCGCTCGCGCGGCACGCGGACGCGACGCACGTCGTGTCGTGCGTCCGCGGCCACGCGCTCGTCGACCGCGTCCGCGGCGACGTCGGCGACGGTACGCACGTCGTCACGGACGAGTGGCTGACGACGACGCTGCGCGCGGCCGACGGCCTCGCGCGCGAGGCCGACTTCGCCTGGCGCGCGCCCGCGGCGCCCGCGCCGCCGCCGCCCGTCGCGGCGCCGCGGCGCGGCGTGCTCGCCAAGTACTGCTGCCAGCGGCGCATCACCGTCGAGGGCGACGTCAACAAGGCCGTCACGGGCGCGCTCGCGGACCAGATGAAGTGGTGGGACAACGGCGCCGTGAACGCCGACGAGTTCCGGCTCTACGCGACGCGGATCCAGCTCCTGCACCGCGTGGCGCCCATCATCAAGTCGTGGCCCGTGACGCTGACGCCCGAGAACTGGGACGACGAGCGCGAGAAGCTCGAGGCGCAGCACTACATCTCGGCGACGTCGACGTCGGCGACGGGCGGCTGGATCGAGTACATCGAGCAGCTCGTGCTCGGCGGGCCCGCCGCCGTCGTCCGCGAGGACTGCTTCTACAAGTGGCAGCGCGACCCCGTGCGCCGCGTCGTCTTCGAGATCAACGCGCTGAAGATGCACGTGGGCAAGAAGCGCGCCGTCGACCTCGTCGCGAACCGCGGCGTGACGAGCGCCGCGGAGCTCTGCGCGCGGCGCGACGACCCGGCGCTCGCGATCCCGCCGCACGTCCGCCCGAATCTGGCGCTCGCGCCCGTGGGCCCGTCGGCGACGCGCATGGACCGCGAGGAGACGGAGGCGATCCTCGGCCGCTTCGCGGCGGCGGCGGCGGAGGTCGGCCTCGCGTCGACGGCCGTCGGCTCCTACCGGCGCGGCAAGGTCGGCGGCCACGACTTGGACGTCATGCTCCACGCGCCCGAGGGCGCGCCGCTCGTCGCGGTCGCGGACTACGAGTTCCACGACGGCGACGGCGCGGGCTTCCGGCTCCTCGAGCGCTTCTTCGCGCGCCTCGCGGCCGTCGACGTCGGCGGCGCGCCCTTCCTCCACCCGCACCGGACCATGGGCGGCCTCATCGGCGCCAAGGAGGCGCCGAAGCTCGGCATCCGCCACTGCTTCGTGCGGTCGCCGGCCGTGCCGGGCGCGTTCCGCCAGGTCGACTTCATCCTCTGCCCCACGGAGATCATCGCGCACGGCCTGCTCGGCTGGTCGGGCTCGACGTCGTTCCAGCGCTCGCTCCGCGACTACGTCAACCACGCGCACGAGAAGAACTGGGCCGAGGTGCCGGACCGGCGGCCCATCGTCGGCCGCCGCGGCTGGAACGTGACGCGCGACGGCACGCGCGTCGGCTCGCTCATCGAGGGCCGCGAGCTCGACGAGGACGAGCACTGGGCCTGGTCCCAGAACGGCATCGCCATCGCCCGCGGCAAGCACAGCAGCAAGGGCAAGGACGGCGAGCAGTTCGAGACGACCTACGAGGAGTGCAACATCAACCTCCGCACGGAGGCCGACGTCTTCCGCTTCTTCCACCTCGACTACCGCGCGCCGCACGAGCGCTGCGCGTAAAAGATACAAGCCTTAGAGCCGGAACTGCAGTGGGTAGGGCTGGGGTAGCAGGCCCCGAACTTCGAGCAGGGGGAGCGCCGCGGTGCTCGCGTACTCGACGAACTTGCGCAAGTCGTCGGGCATGTCGACGTCGATTTCGCCCCGGGCCTGGAGGCGCCGGAGGAACCCTCCTAGTTTGGTTTCCATGGTCATGTCAATTGGGGTGCCGATGAGCGAGAGACGCGCGAAGGACGCGCCGCGCGCGAAGAGCACGCCGTCGATTAGATCAGCGGAAATGGAACCGTGCGAAAGGTCGAGAGAGACGGTGGCCGAAGATAGACAGAGCGTTCGAAGTCCATCGAGGTAGCGCGCGGAGACGATCCGAAGGCGCGGGCAGGCGGAGACGTCGAGAGAGTCCAGCCGCTGCCGACGCATGCCATCCTTGCCGCCGACCACGAGCTGCTCGAGCGCCGGGCACGCGAGCGTCAGCGCTCGCACGTCGAATAAACAACGGGCGCAAAGGAATCTGAGCGATGTCATGCGCGAGAGGATGGCGCCAATTCGAAAGCTGACGGCGCATTTCGAAATGTCGAGCCAGCGGATGTTTGGGCACGCCTCGACGATGAGCTCGAGCGAGCTGTCATCGTAGCCGCGGCACGAGACGCTCAAGTCGAGCTCCACGAGCCGCGGGCACCGGAAGCCTGCTAAGCTCGTAAGTTCCCTGAGCTTGATACCGGCGCAGAGCGTGACGAGAGAGGGGAGATCGATGCCAAGAGAATGATGATTGATGTAGAGAACCTCCAGACTTTTCGGGAGGAGGCGTTCAGCGGCCATCCACTCATCGTCAGAGAAGAAGTGGCGATTAATGTAGCCGAGATTGAGCGCCTTCAGCTGACGAAGCTGTGACAGCGCGGGGAAGGATGTGGGACGCGCAGATCCTGAAATGTCCAAACTCTCGAGGCGCGGGAACTGCGAGCAGATTGAAACGACGGGCGGAATTGCGTCGTCGGCCATATGCGTGTAAGGGAGCTTTAATCGTCGAATATAAGGAGCCACGTCGGGATGAATTCGGTCAAGCGACTTGGTCCGCACGTGCGCGCAAGACCACGCGGCACCCGTGCGGACTGCCAACGCCCAAGCCCGACACACGAGGCGACAAATCAGACGGGTCGAGCGCATGCTGTGGTAGCGCAACGCCTCGATCGCGTCTGGATCCTCGTTGGTCATGCCAATACAAGTCCCGAGGAGATACGAGGGCATGCGCGTCGCCGCCACCTCCCGCCGCGGCGCGCCGCGAAGCACGAGACCGCTGTCGCGCAGGAGCGCGACGGGCGGGATCGGTTCGACCGTGGGCGGCATCGGTTCGGCGGGCTTGACGCGGCACAGGCGGCCGCCTTCGCGCGTCCATCGCTGCGCGGACGAAAAGGACTTTGGCCGGTGGCGGCGCCTCCCCGAGGGCACAAGAGATGACTCGGACGAGAGCGCGCCGCGCGCCTCGGGCGGCGGACGCGGCGGCGCGTCCGTCGAGAGCGCGGCGCCCATGCTCGAGCCTCGGCACCTTCGGCATCTTCACCCTGCAAGCAAAGGCAGCCCACGATGGACGTGCTAATCCTGCACGGCGAGCGGTCGTTCCGCATTCCGCTGCAGGCAAACAAAACATACAAAATGCAACAAATCCGGAAAGCCATCGAGAAGCGCCTCGGGACGCCGGACCTGCGCATCGTCGACGACGCGACGGGCCGCGCCGTGGAGCCCGCCGAGGTCGTCGGCGCCGGCCGCGTGCTGCGCTGCCAGGAAGCGGCGACGGGCGCGCCGCTCTGGCGCGACGCCGTGCCGCACAAGATCGTCGGCGCCGACGCCGAGGTCTTCGACCGCGCGGACGGCGGCGCCAAGTTACTCGGCACCCTCGCGCCGGGCGAGTTCGCGTGGGTCGCCAAAGCGCCCGCGGCCGCGGGCTGGCGCCGCGTCGTCCTCGGCGGCCACGCCGAGGCCTACGCGCGGCGCGGCGACCTGCGGCCGCTGCTGCCGGCGGCCGCGCGGCGCCTCTGCCCCGCGCCGACGGCGGAAGCGCACGCGGCCCGCGGCTTCGGCGGGTCGGGCGCCGCGGGCGCCGCGCGCCGGTCCCGCGCGCGGGCCGCCCCGCGGCGGCGGCCCGCGCCGGAGAACTTTCGCCTAGCCATCGTCGCGCCGGAGGCGGCCTTCGTCTTCGACAGCTGGCTCACGTCGGAGGCGGGCGCGCGCGACGAGAGCGACCACCCGAGCGGCGCGCACCTCGCGACCTGGAGCTTCGTGCGCTTCCTCGCGACCCACTACGACTGCGACCTCCTCGCGCTCGGCCAACGGCCCCGCTGCGACACCTGGGAGGGCCGGCCCGTCGCCGTCGGCGACGCGCGGGCGCTGCGAAACGCGAACAACACCTACGCCGCGGCGGTCGCCGTCGACTGCTGCGAGGACGTCGTCGGCCTCGCGCTGGCGCTGGGCTGCGCGAAGACGTACGCGTATTGCCACGTCTTCTCGGAGCTGCGGCTCCCGGGCGCGCCGCTCTATCTGGGCGCCGCGCTCCGCGCGCCCGGCGCCGCGCCCGAAACGCTCGCGGCGTGCCACGTGCTCGTGCCGTCCCGGGCCGCCTTCGACTACGTGCGCCGCTTCGCCGGGCCGGCGCAGAAGTGCACCGTGGCCACGCCCGCGGACTTTGGCGCCTTCGACCCGCCGCCGGAGCGCCACGATCTGTTCGACGGCGGCCACGCGTACGTGACGCTCATCTCGCCCTGCCCGGCCAAGGGCATGGCCGTCTTCGTCGCGTTGGCGCGCCTCATGCCCGACGTGCGCTTCGCGGCCGTCGCGACGCGGTGGACGTCGCCGGAGATCGAGCACCTGCTCCGGTCCATGGCCAACGTCGACGTCTTCCCCGCGCACGAGGACTGCGACGCGGTCTACGCGGCGACGCGCGTGCTCCTCGCGCCGAGCCTGTTGCCGGAGACCTTCGGGCTCGTAGCCTTCGAGGCGTCCCTGCGCGGCGTGCCCTGCCTGTCGTCGGACGCGGGCGGCCTGCCCGAGGCGAACCCGGCGCCGGATTTGGTCGTCGCGACGCGGCTCGTCTGGGACGTCGCGTCGTCGACGATGCGGCGCGGCGCGAGCCAGCGCGGGGCCCTCGCCGGCGCGCCGGGCGGCGTCGAGGCGAAGCAGGCCGCGCCGTCGGCGACGACGGCGGCCTTCGCGGCGCGCTTCGGCGTGCCCCACGACCGCGCGCTCGACGTCTTATTCGTCGCGGATCCGAACGAGGTCGCGCCGTGGGTCGACAAGCTGCGCCGGCTCCTCGCGTCCGACGACCGCCTGCGCGAGGCGGCGGACGCCGCGCGCGCGGGCGCGGAGGCGTTCCTCGACGGGCGGCGCGACGCGCTCCTCGACCTCGTCGGCCCGGCCGCCGTCGTCGCCTGCGACGCGTGCGGCACGCCGGCGCGGAGGGCGCTGAGGTGCGGCCGCTGCAAGCGCGCGCGCTACTGCGGCGCGGACTGCCAGCGCGGCCACTGGGCCGTCCACAAGCCTAAGTGCGGCGTCTAGCGTCGGGGCGCGCTCCGAGACGCCCGTGCTTGGAAGCGCGTCCTCGGTCGTTAGCTTCGCGGCGGCGTCGGGGCCGCGGCGGCGCTTGGCCGCCGCGGTCCGTCATGGTGCTATCGGCTAAAGAGCGAGAACGGGAAGGGCAGCGGGTCCTCGGCGAGCTTCTCGCGGTACTTCTGGTGGTACGCCTCCGCCGGGAAGAACTCGGCCGCCGGCTCGATGGCCGTGTCGCGGACGTAACGCTTCGAGGGGAAGAGCTGCGCCTGCACGCGCTCCGCGCACTCGCGCTGCGCCTCGTCGTGATAGAAGATGGCGCTCCGGTACTGGCGGCTCCCCTTGTTCGGCGCGTGGAGGTCCCAGAACTGCTCTACGAGCGCCTCGTAGCTCACGACGTCCTCGTCGAATTCGAGCCGCAGCGCCTCCGTGTGGTCGCCGAGGTCGTCGTAGTTCGGTGCGGGCGTCGTGCCCGACGTGTAGCCCACGGTGCTCCAGATGACGCCGTCGCGCAGGTCGAACTTCTGCTGCGGCGTCCAGAATCATCCGAGCGCGAAGGTGGCGACGCGTCGGCTCGGCGCGAGCGCGAGCGCCTGGGCGACGAGGCACGCGCAGGCGGCTCTGCGCGCCATGTTCGTGTGCAGCAGGCGGTATGCGGTGCGCGCTTGTACGGCGCTGCGCGGTGCTCGTCGACGCGCGTGGCGGCAATCCGCTGAGGCGGATCCCGATGTTTGACCGCGGTTGAACCAGATGTTGCCGCTCGGCCGACCAGAAGTACTCTGCAGTCCGCGCTGGAAAAACAAGCGCTAGAAACCGCTCTCTCGAGCAATGGCATTACGCGGGAGGAGCGCGCGTCCCTCACGGCTCCGGCGCGCACCTGCTGCCCGCGGGATTGCCGCACGCGAACCCCTGGGCCCCCAACCACCCGCAGTGGCCGTTGGGTGGCGGCGCGCCGGGGCAGTACTCGTGGTCCGGGCAGCCGCACTTCGTGAAGTTCGTGTCGTCGTCGCCCATCGGCGCGGCGACGGCCTCGGGCATCTTCACGCACGCGTCGGTGCCGTTGCTCGCGCCGCAGATGTAGCCCGTGCAGCAGGGCGTGCCGCTGATGATGTCGCGGCTGCAGGTCTCGCCCGCGGCGATGCAGGACGTGCAGGTCAGGCCCGGGAGCTCCAGCGCGGGCTGCTGCAGGCCCGGGAGCTCCAGCGCGGGCTGCTGCTCGGCCATGTACTCCCAGCAGCGGAAGGTCTCGCAGCACGGAGGGAGGCTGTCGTCGAGGGCGCAGGTGGCGCCTTCGCTCAGGCACGTCGAATTGCTGCCCCGGAGGCTGAAGCCGGCGGCGACGTGCGGGAGGATCATCAGAAGCTTGGCCATCGTGATCGTCGATAAGCTATAGGTGCAACAACCAATTGGCAACAACAACCACTTTGACGGCAGCCCCAGCTCGAACGGACGCTCGAGGTCAAGACGCGATGGAACACACCACGACCCTCGTTGCGCCTCACGCAACCGCGGGCCCCCGTACGAAGGAACTGTACCTCAGCGACGCCGAGCGCATCGCGCGTCTCTCGCCCGAAGAACTCCAAGAACACGAAGCGCTCGTCCGTCGCGCCAATGAGTTGCGGGCGGACCGAACCGCGATATGCTGGACGATCACCGACCCCACTCTGCTCGAGGTCACGGACGACGAGGCTCCGACGGCGCGCCGGACCCGGACGAGCGGCTGCTCCGACTTCCTCTGCGGCCGGAAGCAGCTCCCCGCGGAGGCCGACGAGGACCGCCGCGGCGAGCGCGCCCGCTAGGCCCCGGCGAGCGCCCCGGCGCGGCCGCCCATCCCGACCCCCGAAGACCCCTAAAACGAACATCCAACCGCCGTTACCCGGTCGGAATCGCCGCGGGCGCGGCGGGCGTCCGGCCCGCCGCGCGCGCGGCGCTCAGCGCCAGTCCGGCTTCGCGTCCGCTTCGCGCGGCGTGTTGTTCTTGTTCGCGAGGGCCATGCCGCGGGCGATGCGCGTGATGTAGGTCGGGCACTTGGTGGTCTTGGGCGTGAAGGTGTAGTCCTGGAGCGTCGCCTCGTCGTGCTCGTCCTTCTTCCGCTGGAGGTACTGCTGCCGCTTCGCGTCCTCGTCGCGGAGGCGGTCGAGGTAGGACTCGGGCTGGGAGTGGATCCGCAGCTTGGACTCGGCGGACGTCGCCGTCTCGAGCGTGGGCTTGAAGGAGTGCTTCTTGCGCTCCTCGCGCTCCGTCTTGAGCATCAAAAGCCGCCGGTTCGTCTCGCGGCGGAGCGCGTCGCCCTGGCTCAGCTCCGCGCAGGACCGCCGGGGCCGCGCCGCGGTCTTGATGGCCGGCCGGAAGGTGCACTCGTCCAGGTCGCCGTTCGACGACGCCTTCTCCATGGTGTCGAGCTCGCGGCGCTCGCGGCGCCGCGCGGCGACGACCAAACGCTCCATGAAGCCGTCCGTCGCGTCGCCCTCCTTGGCGCGCGCCGTGCGCCTTAGGTCCGGCTTGAAGGCCGGCGACTCGGACTTGCGGATGGCCGCGACCTTCTTCGCGCGCCGCGCGTCGCACGCCGCCTGGCGCCGGAGGAACGAATCCCAGCCCTTCGCGGAGCTCCGCGAGTCCACCGTGGCGTTCTCCTCGACCTCCTCGTCCTCGACGACCTCGACCGGCTTCGCCGCCAGGGGCCGCGCGAGGCGCTCGAAGACGTTCGCCGCCGCGTACGTCTTCGCGGACTTCATGTCGCGCTTCACGCCCGTGATCTCCGGCCGGAACCTGGGGCGATGCGACGTCGCTTCAACGTGAGCGTTCCGCGCGCGCGCGTTCCATAAACAAGCATCCGCGCTTCGAGAGTGCTCCAAAAGATGATCGCTCGTCCAAAAATCAGCCGAAACGAGTGGAAGACGGCCGAGCTAGGAAGTTGGGAACGTCGCACCCGTTCGCGATCGCCGGGCGGAACGTGCAGCCCGGCGGCGGCTCGTCCTTCGCCGACGCCTTCGTCGGCGCGCGGTAGCGGCTCTTGACGGGCTTGCGCGCGTAGGCCGACGTCGCCCGCGGCGCCTCCGTCTCGATGGACGGCGCGAAGGGGTGCGTCTCCGCGAACTCCGTCTCTCGCTCCGCGGCGACCTCCTCGCGGCGCGCGTCGCGCGCGGCCCGCCGCGCCGTCTCCTCCTCGTAGAGGCGCGCGTTCGCCGACCGCGCGTCGCGCGCGCGGGTCACGGCGGCGGCGCGCCGCGAGTTCGTGGAGATCTCCGGCGCGAAGGTGCACTCAGAGAGCTCGTTGGACGCGCCGTCGCGCTGGCGCCGCGCGACGTTCGCGTCGCGCTCCGACGCCCAGCGGTCCGTCCGCTCGAGGAAGGACCCGGCGCTGCGGTTCGCGGACGCGTAGAGCTTCGCGGGCAGCTTCTTGACCTTGGGTCTGAACGTGCACTCGTCGTCCTCCGACAGGCGCGCGACCCTCGCCCGCGGGTGGCTCGCGTTCGAGCCCCAGGCGCGCGGCGACGGCGGCGGCGGCGGCTGCTGCGGGGCGTCGTCCGTCTCCGCGCGCGCCGGCGCCGCGTCGTCCCAGGCGCCCCTGGCCGCGGGCGCCGGCGGCGACGCCGGGCTCGTCGTCGACGCCCTCAGGTCCGCCCACATCTCCGCCTCGCGCAGCTCGCGCGACATGGACGCGTCCTCGGTTTTGGGGTGCGGCGCGGCGCGGTAGGCGTTTCCGTAGCCCTCGGACGACGCGTAGAGGTCGCCGTAGCCCCGCGGCGACGCCTCCGCGTCGCTCGACGCGTCGCCGTCGCGCGGGTACCGCGGCGGCGTGCCGCCGCGGCGCGGCGCGCGGGGCTCGTCGACGTGCGCGGCCCGGCTCTCGCTCCGCAGCGAGCTCAGCGACGCCATGAGCTCCGCCTTGCTCAGCTTGCCCTCGCGCATCGCGCCCACGAGAGTTTGCACGCGGTTCGCGTCGCTGGAAGGATTCTTCGGCGGCGACGTCGACGACCGCTGGAGCTCGCTCAGCGACACGAAGAGCTCGCTCTTGCTGATCGTGCCGTTCTGCATCGCCGACACGAGGCTCGACACCTGCTCGCCGCGCGCCGCCATGGTGCCGGCCGCGGCCGCCGCGGCGGCGGCGCTCGGTGCGGCGGCGCGGTGCTCCGGCGCGCGCGGCGGCGCGGAGGTCTTCGGCGGCGGTCGCGGCGTAAGCTATGTGGTGGCGCGGACGCGGCAGGAGGACGCCAAAAAATCAGTTCCGCGCGCCAATCGAGCTGCCCATCGGCTTGTGGCAACAAACTGCCACAAGGAATTCACGCCACCTCCGCCGTCGCGCGCAGCGGCAGCGCTCGAGTGATGGGCTGGCCGTGGCAGCAGAAGCCGTCGGAGGACGAGTGCGTCGAGTGCCAGGAGGCCAAGGAGGCGCCGAAGCCGGCGTCGTCGGCGCACGGGCCCTGCGGCGACCTCTACGCCTTGGTCGACGCCTGCATGCAGCGCGAGGACCGCAAGAACGTCAAGGACTGCGCCGCCGAGTGGAAGGCGTTCCAGGCCTGCCACAGCGCGCACCGGACGCGGCGATAGCGCTCGAGGACGCGGCGCCGCGCGCGCGCGGCCCGCGGTAGAAGAACGCTAGCGCGCGGCGTTACGCCGCAGCGGGCTCCTCGTCGCGCGCGCGGCGGCGCAGCGGAGCAGGGGCAGCGCCGAGGGGTCGGCGTAGTCGACCTGCTGGGGCGTCGTCGAGAGGCTCGCGGGCTCGGAGTCGTCCATGGACGCGTTCCGCGCGTGGCGGCCGTTCTCGGCCGTCGGGATGGGCGACGGCGCGGAGGCGCGGCGCGACGGGTAGCGGCGCCGGAGCTCCTCCTCGAAGTGGCCGTGCTTGACGCCCGGCGGCCGCGACTCGCGGAATCGGGCCAGCGCGTCGTCGACGTCGAGGCCGTCGACCTCGCAGAGGTACGACGCGAGCACGAAGCCCGTGCGGTTGAAGCCGTAGGAGCAGTGCACGGCGACGAAGGCGCCCGGGTCCGCGCGCCAGAGGTCGCGGGCCTCGTCCGCGAGCTTGCGCACGAGCCAGGGCTCGACGAACTTTTTCGCGGGCGTCGCCAGGTGGACGTAGCGCACCCAGGGCGTCTGCTCGAGCTCCTCGGCGTAGAGGCAGTCGTGCTGCGTGAGGTCGACGATGAGGCCCACGCGGCGGCCCAGGGCGCCCTGCGCGTCGACGAACGCGCGCAGCGTGTGCGGGTGCACGACGCGTTTCCCGCCCGCGGTCAGCTTTTTCATCTGGGCGACGGTCAGCGGCGTCTTCATGGGGATGATGCCGGACCCGTTGCCCTTGACGCGGATGACGCCGCCGACGGCCTCGTAGTCGCCCCACTTCTCGATCTTCCGCAGCACCGACGGCAGCTCCTTCGGCTCCTTGGGCGGCGGCTTCGGCGCGCTCGTGCACCAGCTCCAGCAGGACGTCTCGGGCTCGCGCGACGGCGGGTGGCCCATCGCTCGCGAGCGCTGCTACCGGCTTTCGACGCTTCGGTTCGCTGCGGTCCTCGACCGGGGCGCGCGCGTGTGGTCCCAGACCGGCGGCTGAGTTTGGATCGCTGTTGACAGCGTCAACCACGACGGTGCCGTTCGATTGTAATTCGCGGGCTGCGCATGACGACGCTGCGCTTCCTCGCGCTGCTGCCGATCGTCGCCGCGGTCCGCCATGCGCCGCCGCCCTGGGCCGCCAAGGTGCCGGCGGGCGTCTGCTACCACCGCGTCGCCGCCGACGGCCGCGAGATGATGCTGTTCCTCGCCGCCGAGGACGCGTCCGAGGGCGCGGCGCCCTGCCGCTTCGGCGGCCGCCGCCGCGGCGGCGGCGGCGCGCCGCTCGTCGTCGCGCTCCACGGCTTCGGCGGCGGCTACCCGGACATGTTCGTGCCGCTCTCCGAGGCCGTCGCCGCGCGCGGCCTCGCGCTCGCGGTGCCCCGGGGGCTCAACGGGTCCTGGAACGGCCGCTACTGCTGCGGCGTCGCCCTGCGAGAGCGCGTCGACGACGTCGGGGCCCTGCGCGCGCTGCTGGCGGCGGCGCGGCGGCTCACGCGCCGCGTCGACGCGTCCCTCGCGTTTGGCGTCGGCTTCAGCAACGGAGGGTTCCTGGTCTCCGACGCCGCCGCGCTGCCCGGCCGCGCGCCGCCGCTCTTCGCGGCGGTGGTCTCCGTCGCGGGCCACGCGCTCCGCGTCGGCCTCGACGCTCGGCCGACGCCCGTGTTCATGGTCCACGGCGACGGCGACGCCGTCGTCCCGCTCGACGGCTGCTGCGGCGGCAACGAGGCGCTCCCGATCTGCGCCGCGGCCCTCGAGGCCGCGTCGCCCTTCGGCGTCGTCGGCTGCCGGGGCGCGCGCGACGTCTTCCGCCAGTGGCTCCGCGCGAACGGGTGCGCGGGCGAGG